ACAAGAGCCCCTCAGGCCTCTGCCAGGTGTCACCCCCTGCCCAGACTGTGGGATGACTCCATGAGCATCCTGATGCATGCACTCTGCAGGCTGAGACACAGTTGTGGAAGGGCCAAGGCATGTCATCGTGGCCTTCCCAGCCTCATGCTGCCTTCTTCCCTTCTTTCCCTTTGCAATGGACGGACAGGAGCTTGGAGGCTTGCTTGGCTCCTACCTGGGTGCTCATCCAAGAGGAAAACCGAGTGAGCTTGTGCTGACCTGCAGGCCAAGGACAGAGGCGAGGAGGAGGAGAGCGCCTGCCGAGCCCTTGAGAGCAGCAGTTCCCAGGACTGTGTGCACAGGGCTTAGCACGTGGGAGCTGGGCTGGAGGCTGTGTGCACTGCAGCACCTGGTGGGATGTGCTTTATGGACTTCAGCTAGTAAGTGGGATGCCTCTGCTCCTGACATGTGGGGGTAGAAACATGGGGCAGTGTGGACACGCTGGTCCTGCTGGGGATGTAGAGGCTGTGGTGCAGAGCAGGGAGCAGGCTTCTCTGGGGATGAGGGAAGCAGGGGGACTGCCGTTCCTCCCTCCCCCCTTCCCACTGCTCATAGAAAAGGTGTTGGATTCTGGTATTGCTGAATAAGAGCTGAAAATGCCTTTTGGCAAGTCTTTCTGTGCTGTCCTTGCTGTTTTGAGGAAGTCAGCAATAAATGTGCAGAGTGCAGGAGGGGAAGGCTCCAGGGCTTGCATGGGACCAGATTTGATGTCCTGCTCTTACTGCCTCTTACTGCCCTGCTGCGTGCTGTGGTGGGGAGCTGTGCTCACAGTCAGGAAAGGGCTCGGGCACCTCAGGCTGGTTCCCAGCCCTCGCAACAGCTTCCCACCAACTCCCTGTGCCTTGGGTCTACTGATGTGCTGGAGCTCATGCTGATGTAAGCATCTCAGCCCAGACGGAGCCAAGCTCTCCCTGTCCTACAGCCCTCGAGGGGACAGAGGGACCAGGAAAGGCACCTTTAACCACATCCTGGCACGGCACAGCCTGTGTGGTCACAGGGGCTCTCTTACCTGCAGTGGCAACATAGGTGTAAGGAGGCACACAGGGTCCTTCCCCAGAGGCAGGCAGTGGGATCTGAACAGAAAGCTTTGCCAAACCATACCTGCCTTGGGTGGGGGCAGGTCATCAGGTGTGTATTTGGGGAGGGGGGCAATCATTGCTGGACAAGTCCCCTTCTCCCTCCCGTGCTGCTGGAGGGGATTTCCTTTTGTAATTGGGAAGTATGCTGCTGCACCACAAGACTGTGCTTGCTGCGAGCGCCACCTTTCCTGCCCACCTGTGCTTTGCTTAAAACACTGCACCCAATGTCAGCTGCTTCCAGGACCAGCTCTGCACCTTGAAGCACAGGACACGTTGCAGCGTGCCCTGCCTGGTTAAGGGTGGAGACAGAGAGTCCCCTAGAGCAGCTGTCTGAGACCAAGGCGCGAACCAAGCATGAGGACAGAGGTATTGCCAGGCCCACGAGTTGCGTTGTGCCTGGCAAGACCAGCCAGCCTCCTGCTCAGCTGATCAGCTCCTGGGAAGGGTCTTTGGATGAAGGATACTAGGTAGGCACTAGCGATTGGGCCTGCAGAGATGGCCACCAAGCTTTTTCTTAGTTACCTAATTCATGTTGTAACCCCAGAAGAAGCTGGTCACCTTGGTGGGTCTGACCTGAAGTGATGTGGTAGGTTGCTGCTGGGTGTGCCTGCAGCTGGGGGAGCTGGAAGGGCAGAAGTGCTCCAGACATCCTTGCAAGCATTCTGAGCCTTCCCACACACCTGAAGCACCTCTGTCTCCATGGGGAGCCCCTTCTTGTGCTTGCCAGGTGGGACATTGCATACCTAAGGATGGTGCTGACTGCCACTGTGCTGCCTTGCTGGGGTGATGAAGAGGCAGTGTAAGCCTTGGGCGTATGCCACAGCTTTTCCATTACTGGGTGTTCTGATTGGGTGACTGGAGAGGCTATGAAGGTTTATCTCCAGTCCCTTCCAGTCCATCTTCTAGGCTTCAGAAAAAAAATACATCTCTGGGACCTGTCTCTGTGAAATGTGGCTTAAATTACCCATAGGCTTGTGAAGTTTGTCTTGAACACGTAATGGTTTGTATAAACAATGATTATGATAGGGCTGTGGGCAATGTGAGCATATGAGCCTCGTTTCTGTTAGAAAGACGACCAGAAAATGGAGCTATAAAACATGCGGGAATGAGGTAAATGGTTTGGTCTCTGCAGAGGAAAAAGCATACTTCCCTTATCTGTTGCAAGTCTTTCAGTACTTCGGTAAAATAATATATAATATTCGGTCAGCTTGTGTAACTTGCTTGGATGTTCAGAAAACCTCTGAAATTCCTCACAAAAGACTGTTAAGAAAACTGTCCAGTGGAGGAGATGTAGAATCCTGGATCAGAAGATCGCTGAGGGTCCACAAACAAAGCGTAGGAGCAAATGAGCAATTTCAGAGTGACACAAGCAGAGGGATGAGGTCCTTCACTATTAATGACCCAGAGAAGATAATATGCAGCAAGTTACCCAAAATCTGCAGATACCCTGGAGTCATTCAGATTTGTCAAGATGAAATGACTTCAGAGCGACACTGCATGAAGTGGTGTGAGGCGATGAGAAAGTGGGTATTGAGAAGCGTGCAGCCGGGTATATTGGAAGGAATGATTTGTTCTGGGACATGGCTGGCTTCTAAACTACTGTGACTACTCAGGGCAGCAGCATTGTGGGCCAGCTACAGAGATACTTTTCCTCAATACGCAAAGATGCCATCAGACGAGTAAATCATGCTCAGCCACACGAGGAGTAGCATAAAAAGAGATGCTGAGAGCGTCAGGATGCTGTTCTGGCAGTCAAGGTAATTTCCCTGCCCAGGATATGGTATGCTGTTCTGGTCACCTTTCCATAGGGTCAAAAGAGGATATACTGGGGATGTGAGGTGAGAGTGGTTAGAGCTGGAAGACACCTTGTGTCATGGGAAGGAGGGGGCACTTAATAGTAGTGAGCTTAGCAGGTGTAGAAAAAGCAAAGGCTTTTATTCTTTGCCACTATGTAAGGAGAACAGAACACTGTGGAGTTGCAGTGGGATCACAGTCTTTTACTCAACATCTGGAACTGGTAGCTGCAGGATACCATTTACAAGATTCCCCAAATGAGGAATGAGAGGTATTTCTCTTTGCAATGAGTCCATCTAGTCTGGCACTTTGGAAGTGAAAACAGAGGGGTTTACATTGGTGAGTCTCATCCCATCATTTCTTCCCATCCCTCCTCTGGAGCTTCCCAGTCTCCTGTTAATTCAGCCAGAGTGAATTATGCTGCCTGGCTCCCCAGTTGGTTCCCAACTGTAATCTCATGGCTTGGCTTTCTTCTCCTGCTTTTCTACTCCCCTTTTCTGCTCCTGGCGGCCCTGCTCTAGCTCTGTACCTGTGAATATCTCTTAATAGACTGCTTGGTGGTTTTTCCAATTTGGCTGACCCCCCTCAATGCCTGTACCCAGCTGGGCCTTTGCTTGTTGCGGTGCCCTTTGTCATTGGTGCTTCAGCTGGTTTGCAGCTGTGCATCCGTACCAGCTGAGCTGGGAGGGATCACTTTGAAGCTGAGCTCTATAGGACACCGCAGCGAACAGTTTGGTGGTCATTATCCAGCCAGCAGTGTGCTGTGATGCTGATAAATCTCTGCAGCCAGGCAGTAGATTGCCAGGATATACTCATGAGCTGGTGGGAAGAGCCCTGAGCCCTCTCTGCTAATGTCACCATCCAATGTGGAGCTAGAAGGGCAGGGCTGGTGGCAAGGGACATCTCTGGGACAAGAGGCTGAAACCAATGCAGGGAAGTGGTGGTGGCTTTCTCATGCTCTGGGTAAGTGACAGCTCTTTTACCCAGGCCACCAGGATGGCATTTCTGGGCTTGGGTAAGCAGCCCCTGAGCATTGCCCAGAAGTGATGCTGTGCTAGCCAGCCTTTCTGCATGGTACATGGTAGTGAAGGATTTGGGGTGGTTGGTGGGTGCTGTGTAAAAGGAGTGGTTCAGGGATCGGCAGCCTGGGTAGATCTTCCCGTCTGTTATCACTGCTTCCTTCTGCAGTGGGGTTTTCTCTTCCCTGTTCCACAATGTGGTTGTGTTTCTGCTGTCAATGTGTCATTTCTAGACCATCCCGGTGATGCTCAATTTGCATTTATCCATTGCTAGCATAGTCTTCTCTGTTTCCCATGGAGCTGCTCTGCACAAGAGGAAGATCTCCCCATGTCCAGTGATGCTGACCCAAGCCCAGCTGCAGGTCTTGTAGCAATTTGTGGAGGGCACTGAAATAAATAAAATATTTGACCAGCTAAATAGTAGAGCTTAAGCCTCCTCTCTGCCCTCTGTGTGGTTGCATCTAAATGCATCCAAGTCAGAGGAAGGAAGGAAAACAAGCAGGGGGTGTAACTGGCCCCTGATGGGTGCCCTGGGGGCTGAGGCCTGCAGTGAGCCGAGTGTGGTGATTCAGCTTAATAAAGCTAATGGCATGCAGCCAGGTAAAGGAAACTGTGGGATCATGATGCAGCAACTGTCCCATAGCAGTTTGCTTCCATCATCCAGACGTGACTTCATGCCCCCACCACCCCACCCTTTCATTTTTTCCTGTGCCTAAACATTCTCCCTGCTGAGGGGAAGGGGCTGAGACACTGCGTCCTCAGGAAGAGGAGTAGTCCTTGAGAAGGAGGTGCACCTAAGTGGCGTGAGAGTGGGGGAACAAGGAAGGGAGCTCTGGGACTGTGTGTGGTGGGACCACAGCTGCTGAAGCACCCAGACTCTTCCAGTACCCCTCAAACTTAGCAGGCTTCTCCAGATGACCTTGTCCCTGGACACTGGTTCCCAGGGAAATCCTGTAGCATAGAGGAGCCTGAGCCAGCAGGCAAGGTTGACCCCTAACTTCAACAGGGCTACACTGTCATCCAGCTGGTGTGTGTCTAACCATGCCTTTCTCTCCTTTCCCCAGGGAAGACGATGAAGCTGTAGAGATGCTTCCCTACGTGATTGCCACCCTGGGCTCAGCAGGGGCCTCCTGCAAAGCCTCCACGTGCAACAACAGCACCAAGGACTACTGCTACAGTGCCCGCATTCGCAGCACTGTGCTGCAGGGGCTGCCCTTTGGTGGGGTGCCCACTGTCCTAGCCCTCGACTTTATGTGCTTTCTTGTAAGTCTACCTATTGTTGGTTCAGCACCTTCTCCCCTAATTAGCCATGAAGGGAGGACTGTGGTTGGAGTTAAGGGCTTGGAGTTGGAGTTAAATGCCATCCCAGACTTTGCTGCTGGCTGACTTTATGGTCCTGATCGTGTCCCTTAGCCACTATTGACTTAATTCCAATACCACTGCACTGAGCCCGTGGAAGGGTGTTGCAAATTTTCCTAAGGACATGGGTCAGGTTAGGTCCGTTCTGCATCCCAAAACTCCCACTTACGGTGCCGAGTCCCTGCAGCTTTACCCACCCGAAGGCCTTGCTTGTTCCTCCTTAGGAACTGCAGGACCGCAGATGCTGTAGCTGTAATCTCGCCTCCTTGGGACCTGAGGGCCTTTTGATCTTGTAGTTAACTTAGCTACTGTGTGTTGCATCCTGGACCTCTGCCTCCCACAGCCATCCAGATAGTCTGATTTTAACAGCCCTGGAGAACTTCTGCTGTCCCATGGCCTCAGTGTGCCATTAGCTGAGCAGTCCTGTCCCCTCCTACCCTCCCTCTTCCTGTGGCTCTGCACGCAGAGAGCAAGGACAGAGCTGGACAATGCCTCATCTCACAGCTGCTCCTTTGCTCTCTTCCAGGCACTGTTGTTTGTCTTTTCAATTTTGCGTAAAGTTGCTTGGGACTACGGACGCCTGGCCCTGGTGACTGATGCTGACAGGTAAGCATAGGAGAGGGACAGGAAAACAAGACATGAGTGGTATCCTTCTTTGCTGCAGGGCAGAAGGGATAAACCCCCTTCTGTGTGCCAGAGGCGGCTGGGGAGGAGATGCAAGCGTGCCAGTTGTATCCCCTGAGCTCCAGGCACAGGAAAAATCCTCACTTACCAGCTTTTTTGTTACAGCATCCTTCTCCCAACACAGGGAGTGGTCCCCGCTGGCTCCATATCACTTTTGGTCCCTATAGTGACAGAGGTGTGCAGGGGTCCTTACAGAGGAACAGCAGATGGAGGGTCAAGAGAGGAAAAGAGGTCACAGCAAGGGTGAGGACTGCCACAGTGAAGGCTTTGTTAAGCTCTGAAGGTGTCTTTGTGGCTCTACTGGATGCAGTTCTTGTTAAGAGCACTTAAAAGTGGTAGGCTGTGTTTCCAGGTGCAGTACTGCTGTGCTAATGTGAGTTTAGCTCACATCCCAAGTACTGATGAGTTGGTCTGGGTATGGATCTTTCCTGCCCAATGCTTTTGTGGGCTACGGTGTCTGTTGGCAAAGCCGGGGCCCACTGGGAATGGCAGCTCCACAGCAGTGTGATGCTATTCTCATTTTTGCTGTCAGCAGAAGGTAGGACAAAGATTATTTTCTTCCAGTGCCAAACAAGGAACTCTCCTTGATTAAGCTAGAGGGGTTGTGCAGGTAGTCTGCCTCTCTCCAGGGGTGGTTTGCTGTGCCCTTGGTGCTTTGTTGTGTGCTGGAGGCAAAGTGTGGCTTCTGAAGGCTGACTGTGGTAGGTGGTTCTTCTCCTTGATCAGCTCCACAAGTTTATTGTGCCCAAAGGCTTGGATGGGACTGAACTCTAGCCTCTTTGGCTCCTTTGGCGATACAGATTCAAGTAAGCTTCTCTTGAGCACTCTGTGCATGACAGTGGAAAGAGTAAGAGTTGTTTACTTCCAGCACTGAAACAGGAAATCTTCTGGTTTAGAGAAGCGGTCCTGGATAGCGTTAGATAAGCAGCTGTGTCCCTGTGGCTCCTCCGCTCCTCCTTTCTTGGCCTGGCTGGGGAAATGAGCAATGCAGGGGCATTGGGGGAAAGTGAGAAGGGAATAGCCATGAGACCTCACTAGGGAGAGGGCAGCAGCTCCTCAGGGTTAAGCTATCTGGACCTAAGCGTGGGCTGGTAGCCACAGGGGCTGCACAGCTCTGGCCTTCAGTGGGGAGAGAGGGCTGGCCCTTCTTAGAGGTGATGCTTGAGCACCCTGCGTATGAGGGAGTGGGAGCAGTGGCTGTTAGGCAGAAAGGCAGAGGGGTGTCAGCTTTTTGGTGGGGGAGAGCCGGTAAGCATGGGGAGAGGGACAGCATGGCTGCAGATCACCAGGACCAGGATCCCAGGGAGGGGCACCTGCTGCTTGGCCTATCCATGGGGTGGGATGCAAGTGTGTTGGCTGCCTGGGTGGGGAGGAGAGGCATAGAAAGGGAGGTCAGGTGGCAGCTGGGCCAGCCCCGGCAGGCTGTCCTGCCTGACCCCATCCCTCAGGAGCTCCCTGGGACACCCATGGTGTGGAGCCAGGCCACCTTCCTTATAAAGTCAGCTTCCCTTTAGCTGGCAACAAAGCACTCTGCCCCTGGGCCAGCAGGGGCTCTGGGATGTTGTGGCTTGGGACAGCACTGGGCTCTGGAAGGAAGATCTTCTCCAGCCTGACCATTGGCAGGTTTTTCTTCCTCAGGACAGTGTGGAGCCCTGTTAGGTGCGTAGCTCTCTGAGACAGAGGAGACCCAGCACCTGCTCCCATGGTTGTAACCTCTCCTTTTGTGTTTCTGTGCCCCCAGGCGCCGACGCTGGCAGACGGAGCGAGAGGAGCGGGAATAGTATGTCGTTTTTTCAGGGTCTTGTTTTCTTCTCTCTTTCTTGCTTGCACTCTCTCTCTTTCTCCTTTTCTCTTACAGTTTTCTGTCTTGCTTCTTAACTAATCTAAGTGGCTGGGAGTCTGGGCTTGGACTTGTGCCTCTCGGTGGATTTGTGCTCTTCTCTTTCCCTCCACTTTGTGTCAGCCACTACCACAGCTGGATGCACCCTCGTTTTCCCCTAGTAGCCCTTAAATGCTCCCTGAGGGCAGCAGTGCCAAGGAGCTCCCAATCCCACCTGAGGCAGAGGGTGCCACATCACATACCCTACTCTACCTGCCCGTGTCCAGCTATTCTGCCTTATAATGGAGAAAGTAAACCTGGTTGCCTGAGCCCACAGCAGGCTTGGGTCACCCAGGTGCAGGGGAGCCTCCTTTGCCTGGTCCTTCTCATGCCAGGGTGCCATGAGGGCTGCTTTCATGACAGCTGCAAGGGCAGGCGGGTGCACAGAGAGGATCTGACAGGGAGTTGCAAGACTTCTCTTCTTCCTTTACCCATGAGGCTGCTGGGACCACGACAAGTGTTGGCCCTTGTCCCTTGCCACCTACCCCCAGCTGGCAGCATGCCCAGCAAGGCAGCACCTTTGTCCTTTCTCTCTCCCCCTGCAGAAGCAAACTTCCTGCCTCAGTGCTGCTGAGAGCATCCTCTGGCACCTTGGCCTGGTGTTTCCCATTAAGCACTGCCATGGACCTCTCCCTCCCTGCTCTTTCCTCTTTCTTGCTGCTTTTATGCCTAAGAAAAGAGCATCCCTTATGCCTTGCTGACTGGCTGGGTAGTACACACTGTAGAGGTGATCAGCTGGCAGTGCAGAGCCTGTGATGGTTGCTCCAGCCAGACTGACACATGTCTGAGGCCAGGGCAGCAAACTGCAGCCTCACTTTTCATACTCCATCACTTGCAAAGCGGGGCCTGCCACTGTTACTGCCTTCAGAGCGTGCAGGGATGCTCCTATTTTTGTAGTTGCTCCTTGCCTCCGAAGGAGCAGAGCAGAGAGAGTTGTGAAAACAGAGGTGGCGGTAGCTGTGGTACATGGCACAGAGGGGACCCCTCACTCATGCTTGGGTGCTTCACTAGTAGCTGGCCCTGTTCCAGGTGTGTCTGGCAGCTTTTCACTGCTAACACCTTGCAGGGGTAGTAAGGCAGAGGTAGCAGAGCTGTTGTGCTCTGAGGGTTTTAAGGGGGGGCCTCCTCAGTTATCCTCACAAGTGCTTGTCTTTCTCCAGGGGGCTGTTCTTTCCTGCTCACATTTTTCATCTGAGCTTGCCGGAGCTCTCTGCTGACACCTGCACCCCTGCCCTGCACCCAAACCTACTGCTTGAGCTGGGACAGTGTTGGTAGCCAGAAACTTTCAAAAGCCTGTGGAGCTCAGCGAGGAAACATTGTCCTGGCTGTGCTCCTCCAAGGCTGGTGGCACCTTCCCATCCCAGCTGTTCTTTGTGCTGGGGTGCAGTGGCAGGTGGTGGGTTAGGGACATGTGTATTCCATCTGGTGCTCCAAGCCCTTGAATGTGCAGCATCACTCTTAGTGTGGGAGGACATCCTCCTCTGATGTGTCCCTTTGCCTGAGAACCAGCAAGTGCCCTTGTCCTGCCTCTTGCCAGGGCTTGCAGTAGCAATCAGCACTCTTAATTGGTGACTCAGTCTGCACCAGGAGGTCATGGCAACCTACCTGCACCTCTGTGTTTAAGGGCAGTGAACGCAGAGCCCTGTGGGGCTTGCCACCCACACAGCCACTGCCTGCCTTGCACTGCAGCAAGCCCTTTCCACGGCATGCCTGGCCTCCCCTCCTGGAGCCTGTGATTCCCTTGGCCTGAGGCTAGCCGTGCCTCAGACCCCATCCTTCTCCTTCCCTGGCAGGACCAGCACCAAACCTGGGGCAGTGGGCAGGGTCCCACCTTAATCTTCTTGCAGATTAGGGCAGCCTTGCCTCCACCTACTTGCTTTGTTAGTGCTTTGCTTTAAAAAGTCTCCAGCTAGGTGCAGGTACCATTGGAGCTCCCTTTCCAGCTTTCCATCTTTGCCAAGGTTTGGCCTCCTCTGTCTTCTCAGCGCTGCCAATCATCTTAGCTCTGCATCCTCCTGAATGGAGCTGAGTTAGCCTGGTCATCTCATAACATGGCACTCTTCTCAGTTGTTTCTTCCAGTGCTGTTTTTGCTCTGCCCTCTGCTTTTCCAGTACCGAGGAGCCAAAAGCACACCATGTCATTGTGCTGGTCTCTCCCTGGGGCTGTGGACAGCAGAAATTCACCCTTGCTCCCTGTGCCCACCTGCAAGGCCTCTGGGATTTTAAAGGGCTGAAGGTCCAAGAGCTTGGTTGAAGCTCCCTCTGTCCCTCCAGCAGAGCAGGGTGTTGGGCTGTGCAGTCGCAAGGCTGCACACCACTGTCTAATCTGCACTGCTGTAGTCCCATGACCTTCAGCTAATCTCCTTTCCCCTCTCTTTGTTACTTCCAGTTAGGGACTCAGCAGGTGCTGCTCTGCTCTGAGAGAGGCCACGTGTCCCATCCTCTTTCCTTTAGCAGGGTCATAAGGGTCTTTGCTTGTTCTCCTTCCCATAGTGTCATCCACTTTGTCTTTAGGACTTGTCTCTCAGCTGCTTCTTCTCCAGGTTCTTGCCCATCTGATCCACCTTGAGCCTGTACTGGTTACAGGGAGACCATGTTTTCATCTGGTTTTTTTTTCCTTTGCTTCTAGCCTTCAGATCAGCCATACTTCTTGCACCTCCAAGGTCCCAGCCTGCTGTTGCTATCTTGCAAGTGCTATTTAATTTAGGTCTCAGGACCATTTTCTTGTCTCCTTTGCCAGCTGCCCTCCACCCCCATTTGTAGTGGGAGCTGTTGTCTGCCTTGAATGCTTCTGCTGCAGGTTCTTCGTCTAGGTCCCTGCCTGTGCCTGGAGTAAAGTGGCCTGGGATATTCACCTCTCTTGCATTCCTGTCCTTTAGCCTGTGGTCACTCACTTCTAGCTATTTGCCCTGCTCCTGCTGGAGGGATTTCCAGGCAGGAGGCCCAGCTGAGGCTGGCTCCAGGCAGCACAGCTGCTGGGACTCAGCCGTGTTCCTCCTCCTCCTGGCTTCCCCTGCACTGAAGCACTAAGGGTGGGGAGGGCTGGTGTAGTGGGATACAGCCCACCAGACTCCCAGCCTTCCTCTTCCCTAAGGCAAGCAAGGCCCTCCAGGACAGAGCCGCTGCCAGCACCTCTCCGGAGTGCCGGGGCTGCCGCCTTGTGGCTGCACCAGAGCCAGAGGGGCTGCAGCACCCTCTGGTTCCCACCTCCTCTCCTCTGTCTAAACCCTGTGCTAAACAGACCTCACCTCTCCTCTATGGCAGCAGCCGCCAGCCCCTCCTTGCAGGGGCTGCTACATAACACAGGTGCCTCTCAGAAGGTGCTGAGCAAGTAGCGTCCACGGGGGCTGCTGGGCACAGGGTGCTGTCTGAGGAGGGGTCTCTGCGTACTGCTACCTCTGCTCTCTGATCTTGCCTCTCTGTCTGACCTGGGGCAAACTGACCTGAACTAATCTCTGATCTTCTGGGTGCCCTTGGTTCCTAGCAAGGCTGCCTCCTCACATCTTCTAACTTTCTCCCTTACCTCCTGCTTGTCATTTTAGCGTAGCCTCTGCCCTGCACTCTGACAACCATGACCGCTACGAGCGCCTCACCTCCGTCTCCAGCTCTGTGGACTTCGACCAGAGGGACAATGTGAGTAACAGCTAGAGTCAAACACCTTGCCTTTGCGTCACCAGGAGCCCACAGCTTGTCTGAACCAAGGGCTTTTCAGAAGGAATGCTGTTTGCCCATCCCTGGGCCTTAGGTCCCACACATTGTAGAGCTAAAGGAGATATAATTATGTGGCTTCTAGACATGTGGTTAAATAAGTAGTCTGTACATCTCTGTGGCTTAATGGACATCTGTCCAACCTATAATCTCAGCATTACAAACAATACTTGCCAGCTCCTCCTCACACCTTTATCTCCACTGCTGTTTTCCTCTCTAAAAGGGAGACAGAGTTCAGTAGGATCACAGGGTCTGATGGGCGGGTGGTGAAGCTCCCAGGAAATATTCTTCCCCCAGGTGTCCTTTGAGGAGCACTGGCTTGGCCCAGCTTTCCTTCCCAGTCCCTACAGAGCTCCTGTTGTCCAGGATGATGGCTAAAGTACCTGTGTGGTGAATTTTCTGGGTGTCCCTAGGCTGTGGAGCGCTTCCATGCTAGCCAGGAGCCCGCAGGATGCCTGGGAGGTTGAGCTGGTACGGGACAGCCACATGGCAGAGTCCAGCCTGTGTTGTGCCTCATGGAGTAGCACTGTCATCTCCTTCACCTTGGCCCATCTGTAGCTCTGCATGTCTGGGTGCTCATGGTCTGTCCCCCCCAAGCCAAGTCTGTGGAGATGCAAGGACACCAGCCTGGTCCCCTTAGCCTTTGAAGACAAAAGCAGGGATAAGGGAACATGGAATGATGTGAGACCCTCCTGTCTTCTTTCTGCACAGGGTTTCTGCTCCTGGCTGACAGCCATCTTCAGGATAAAGTAAGTGCCCAAGGACCTGCATGGGGGAACCACATGGGGAAGAAGGAGAGGCAGTGCAGGGTGTTCAGACACCCAGTGCAGTACAGCTGTGTGAAGCTGCAGCCCCTTCTCTGAAGAACACAAGCAAAGTGTGTCCTCTGGAGAGGACAAGCAAAGATGGGACTAGATGAGGAGTCTTAAAGCCAAAACTAAGGTCACACAGTGAGTCTCTGACAGAGGAGGGCACCCAGCCCAGGTTTCCCCTGCCTCAGTCCCATCTCAAAAACACTGTCCACTGCTCTGCAGAGATGTTCCTCTCCCTGGGACTCTTGATAGGGGCACTGCTGTCTGAGGAATGGCACAGAGGGGACTGGAGGATGCAGGAAGACACCCCAGCCTGATGAAGCTCAGGAGTAGTCTCCTAAGCACTTCTTGGCTTCAGAATGCTGCGGTATAGTGTCAGCCATCCTGTATTTCAGCAGGGGAGGCAAGGCCTACCAGAATGGTGTGAGGTGGGGTTTGCGTTTATCCAGCTACCTGTCCTGGGGGGCAGAGGGCAGGAGTGTGGAGAGTGGGGCTGCAGTAAGCATTGCATGGGGAGGTTTCTGCCCAGGCTGGTTCAAGGCTGGGTGCTGGGCTCCCTACCCCAGGGCCTGGCCATGGGTCCGGAGGGCAGAACCAGGGGTGCTGTGTGGGCTCAAACCACAAGGGCAGCCATGACCCTGTGCTTTTTTCTAGCACTTGAGGGAATGTAGAAGATTGCCTGATGGCCTTTCTCTCCCCGGCAGGGATGATGAGATTCGGGACAAGTGCGGGGGTGATGCGGTGCACTACCTGTCCTTCCAGAGGCACATCATCGGGCTGCTGGTGGCTGTGGGTGTGCTCTCTGTGGGCATCGTGCTACCTGTCAACTTCTCAGGGGACCTACTAGGTGAGAGCAGGGAGCCTTTGGCTGGGCAGGGGGAGCTGCTTTCAACACCATGTGCCAGACCACTGGGGAGCAGTGGAAGGCAGGACAGGACTCACACAGACAAACCCTGACTGCTGTCCCACTTTAAGCGTGGCGCATCCAGAGGGTCATCCTGGGCAGCTTGGGTTTTGGGGTGTCCTGCAGGTGAGATTCCTGCCATAGCCCACCCCAGTGGTGCTCTGTGCCACTCATTATGACTGAATGTGCTTGTGTCTGCCTCTTTCTCCCTAGAAAACAATGCCTACAGCTTTGGGAGGACAACTATCGCTAACCTGAATTCTGGGTATGTGTGGGCAGTGGTGGGATGGATAATTGAGGCCCTTAAGGGTATTTTGTAAATGTCCACTTGCTGCAGAGCATCACCTCCTTGAAGGTTGCGTTTCTGCTCTTGCTGTGAGGCTACTGTCCCTGCTCCAATTTCCAGGCTGAGCTCCTGGAAGTTGGCTGTAGGGCATGTGGGTGCCATGCCAGTTACTCTGCTCATGGCCCCAGTGTCTTGAGGGCCTAACTAGCCATACACAGACTTGTAGTGGCAACCTTGCATTGGCCTTTGTGGTCTCTCTTGTGACAGGAATAACCTGCTGTGGCTGCACACATCTTTTGCCTTTCTGTACCTGCTGCTGACAGTGTACAGCATGCGCCGTCACACCTCCAAGATGCGCTACAAAGAGGATGACTTGGTGAGCAGGATCTGGCCACTCTCCCAGGCACATTTTCCCATGCCCTTCTGTCAAGTCAGGTGGCCTTGGAGAGAATGCAGAGCACCCCACTTCCCACAGCAATTTGGGGCTGTCTTGTTTTGGCTGTTCTTTTATTCTGCCTGGCCAAAGGCAGATCTCCAGAGCAGCAGCAGCCCTGACTGCCTGTGGGGAAAAAAGGCCTGCACTGGGTCAGCGTGTAGGGGGGGACCCCATGCCTTCCTCGGGTTGCTCCAGCTGCTTTTGCCTTCTTGGTTTCTTAACGGTACCCCCTGTTTCTGTTCAGGCAGCTGCAGTATAAGTCCCTAGCCTGTCAGTCTGCAGCGCACGAGGATGCAGGATGCCAACAGCTAGTGAAAGCATAGGAGAGGGGGAGCCTTGGGTACTAGAAGTGATGGGGCTGCCCTTTCCCATCGCTGACTCAGGCCTTGGGGGGGGGGGGGGTGCTACAATCCGGTCTTCCACACTATCCACACCTACTTGCCCTCCCCTTTTTTTCTTCCTTCTTTCCAGGTTAAGCGAACTCTCTTCATCAATGGGATCTCAAAATATGCTGAGCCAGAGAAGATCAAGAAGCATTTTGAGTGAGTCTCACTGTGACCCTAATTAAAGGCTGCTCTGTAACGGGGATGTTTTTATTGAGGTAGTACTCGTGTTACCTGGAACGGCAATAATACATTGAGAGCAGAAAGCTAAGTCAAAATCAGTGAACACTTTTATTTTGGGCATCTCTGTTGTTTTTCTGCACAAATTTTTATCTGAATGTGCAGTGTCCTTGGTTTTGTGGCTTGGGATATGCCCAGCTATCTCTTGCAGAGCCATAGGGGGTCAGCCTAGTAAGTAGTGGACAGGGCATGTCCTGAGATGTAGTCAAGCTCAGAGATGAGATGCAGGCAGGAGGCGCTCAAGCAGTGACTATGAGATGTTGTGCTGCTGCTTCTGCCCTGATCACAGTCCTTGTAGAAAAGTTTTGGGTTTGTTTTGTTTTGTTTTTTAACAAAAAAATGAAATTCCTTTTCCATCAGGACCTCAATGAACACACTGTCAGGGCCACATTTAGAAGCACCATGGGGAGAGGATAAATGCTTTGTACCCTTTGGGAACCCTTCCACCTCTTTCTTACGCCAAGCCCTGTGGCCCATGAAGGCAGAGAGGGGGTGTGAGATCAGAGGGGTGCCTTGCTGCCACAGAGTGAAAGTCCAAAGGAGGGTCCTTGTGCCAGAGCCTGGAGGATGTAGTGTTTGCCCCATGTGTTGCTTCTGCTATAAGGGACAAAGCCTGCAGGGTCCCGTGCTGCCCCCAGCAAGCTCTTACTATGCATCATGATGCTCGGTCCAGGGCAGGAGAGAAGCCCTGGATGTGTGGGGTTTGCTTGAGGGTACAGCCTTTGATGCTGGGTGTGATGAGCTGGTGCTTCCCGTCTGCAGGGAGGCCTACGCCAACTGTACCGTCCTGGAGGCCCGTCCCTGCTATGATGTGGCCCGGCTGATGTTCCTCGACGCAGAGAGGTAACCCCTGGTTTGGGAGAGAAGGCAGGGTGGGCTGATACCACAGGTTCTCCTTCAAGTCTGGTGCCACAGGAGCTTTTCTGAGCCACCCTCTTTTCTTTCCTTCCTTGTCTTCCACTCTCCTGTTTCAGGAAGAAAGCTGAGCGTGGGCGAATCTACTTCACCAACCTGCAGAGCAAAGACAACACTCCATCCATGATCAACCCCAAGCCCTGTGGCCACCTGTGCTGCTGTGTCATCAGGGGCTGCGAGGAGGTGGGGAGAGAGCTGGAGGTGTTAGATGGTGGGGCACATGGGGGCTTGGGTCCCCAGGTCTCTGCTCTGACCCCTGTCCTTCTGCCCAGGTGGAGGCCATCGAGTACTATACCAAGCTGGAGGAGAAGCTCAAAGATGATTACAAGCGGGAGAAGGAGAAGGTGAATGAAAAGCCTCTGGGGATGGCCTTTGTCACCTTCCACAATGAGACCATCACAGCCATGTGAGTGCAAAGGGTCCTGTCCTCCCCAGGAAGGTGACCTGTCCCACCTCTCGCCTAAAATCAGAGGAATGGCAGCGCTAAGGCTTCCCCCCCAGCTTGTCCCTGCCAGCCCTCTGCATCAGCATCTCCCTCTTTCTCTTTTCCAGAATCCTCAAAGACTTCAACGCCTGTAAGTGTCAGGGCTGTGCATGCCGTGGGGAGCCCAGGGCCTCCTCCTGCAGCGAGTCCCTCCACGTCTCCAACTGGACAGTCAGCTATGCCCCTGACCCACAGAACATCTACTGGTGAGCTGCTCTGTGGGGCTCAGCGGGCCCTGCCATGGAAAAGGGGTGCATCCTCGCTGTCTCCCTCCCTATCTGCTCCTCTGGTAACTGAATGAGTTGTTCTTGCTGAAGCCCAGCCTGGCTGAGCTAGAAGTCTGATCTGACTTGGAAGGCAAAAGCCTCGGGCTGGCGCCCTAAGTGCTGTTCACACCGGCTGGGCTGTGGTGTGGATGTGAGGGCCTAGATCTGCCCTTCTCTCCCATGCAGCCATCCTGATGCCTTCCTTCCCTCCTCCCAGGGAACACCTCTCCATCCGGGGCTTCATCTGGTGGATCCGCTGCCTCGTGATCAATGTGGTCCTCTTCATCCTCCTCTTCTTCCTCACCACCCCTGCTATCATCATCACCACTATGGACAAGTTCAATGTCACTAAGCCTGTGGAGTACCTCAATGTAAGGCCTTTGGAGACAGCTGCAGGATGGGTAGCATAGGAACCACCCCAAGGCACAACAGCCCCTGCGAGGGAGGGGATAGGGAGAGAGATTGTCAGTGTTCCCCAGGTCCTGTTAGCCTGGCCCTGAGGGAGGTGCTGAGCCTGGCCAGGGTCCAGTGGCAGCTGCAGTGCTGGGGACTCGGCGTCAGCAAAGGCAGCTCTACCTGTGGCTGGCGCAAGAGCTCCCGCACTGTGTAACATGCAGTCTCTTCTCTGTCTTGTTGCAGAACCCCATCATCACCCAGTTCTTCCCCACCCTGCTGCTGTGGTGCTTCTCTGCTCTGCTGCCCACCATTGTGTATTACTCTGCCTTCTTTGAAGCGCACTGGACCAGGTAAGGAGAGCCAGCACCTGTTCTTAGTTGTACCAGCGTGCTGCTTGGCCACTAGACACTTCTCACTGATGTGAAGCTCCTGACTGGATTCTTCTGCTTGAACTTCTGTCTTCCACTCTAAGCATGGTGTTATGTTGCGCCTCTTGGACACCTGGGGTCTGCTGCAGACAGCTGTTCTGCCAATCCTTAGCTGTTGTGCAGCATGGTTGTCTGAGCAGAGCTTGATGTAGGTCTACAAGAAGAGGAAAGCTGGGAGGAGTTGGGGCTGGTCACTGTGAGAAATGCTAGTAGTGAGGGAAGTCTTGTCTCAGGTGAGCGGGCAGGGGTGGCGTGCCTGTTCTCGTGTGTAAGTCATAGCTTTTTCCAAGGGAAACTAGCCTTAGCTGCTATGACTTCTGGCCACAGGGAAGGTATCTGAAGTGCAGAGCACTAGAAATGTGCTGCTTGTGAGGTACATTCCCCACAGGACGTGCAGTGTAAGCTTTATTTTCTGCTCTATGTTGAAAAGACTGGTGGGGAGGTTGTCACCAGCTCCGAGGACTGCGGGTCAGGAGAGATTATTGCAGCGTCCTATAAAGATACAAGGGCTGGGAGGGCCTGTGAGACAAGGGGGGAGGAACTGGGACTCAAGAAGAGACCTCAGACACACTGGAGGGGAAAAAGGGCATATTCATGTAGCAGTAGTGGACAGGGTGGGATTCAGATTAGACAATGGGAAGTACTTTCTAATGAGAAAGCGATGGGGGCACCGTTCCTGGGGCGGCAGTGAAAGATTAACAGCCTCCTCTCTGCCCTCAGGTCCGGAGAGAACAGGACGACCATGCACAAGTGTTACACCTTCCTCATCTTCATGGTCTTGCTGCTGCCATCATTGGGCCTGAGCAGGTAGGGGTGGTGGGAAGGGAAAGCAAGTGCAGAGACCTGGAGCATGGGGAGGGTTGAGATGCACCCCTGTTTGTTCTTCTACACTACATCCTTTCCCCACTGCACAAGTGCCCTGGCCACCATCCCATTGGGAAGGTGGCATTTAGTTCTGGTTATGGGGCCAGGCCAGATCATACCTGTCTGGGTTTCTTGGAGCTTATTTGAATCAATCTGCAGATGCATTGACAAGTGCTGTGGTGTTACAAATAATGCAGCAAAAATTGGCACGGTTGATGCATGCATGTGAAAAGTTTGCTCAAGGTCTGCTGGTGAAGGAGGCACTCCCCACCTCTGTACTCAGTGCAGTCTCCAAATTTTGCACAAAACTAGTGAATTCCCCATTTGCAACAGAACTGAGTAGGTTGCACTGCTTGGCTGGGTGGGATAGTTATGTGTAGGCTGCAGCAATACTCGTCTGTTTGGATGCAGGCCCCAAGTTTTCCTGCAGGGGTTATAGAAATGCCCTGTGGCAAACAGCAGTGCATCAGTTGCCAGCCATCAGCATAGGCTCCCAGCACTGAACAGTGGTCAAGTAGGGAAACAGTGTGAGGAAGGAAAAACTGGAGGGTGGGAATGGGATGGGGGGTCCTGGTAGAGATTTACTTACATGTTGTAGGGTGGGGGATATACAGCCCCTCAGTGGTGAAGTCAAGCAGCTCCTGAGAATGGACAAACCCTCTGATAGAAGCAGAATAGTCCTCCATCCTGGTGGGTGACTATAACATTTCCCAGTCAGATTAAAAATGCCTTATTGCGCATAGCCTTACAACCTAGGCAGGTGAATGCTCTCACAAGGTTTGCATTTTGACCAGATACTGTTAAACAGATTGCGCTTCCTTCTGAGGACTCTGTCCCCCTGCTGTTGCCTCTGGAGCTCTGTACTCCACCAGTACCTGAGGTGCCAGAGGATTGGGTGGCTTTATATCAAAAAATCAGAATTGAGAAAAATGGGGGGGGGGGGGGTCTCCTAAGGGATTTTTTTAATATCTGTGTTGGAGAGTACCTTGTACCTAACTGGTTTCTTCTGTCAAGTCAGCCACCTGTTCCTTGCATGGATGTTGTGCCCAAACAGAGAGCAGAGGAAAATACTGATAGGATCAGGGCAAAGGGAGAAGAACACATGAGAGTGGGAAGCTTTACATTTTGATGCTGCACTGTTTTTCCCAGTGTCTGATTTACATAATTGCTGGTGACACATCCCAAGAGGGAACAAAACAGTGTATGGTCAGAGCTTTGGGTCCTTCTAGAGCAGCTTCCACATGTTTGTATATGCATATCTGTCTATAGCCACTTCTGACTGTTACTCTTCTTCTTGCCCACCTCCTCCACAGCTTGGATGTGTTTTTCCGCTGGTTGTTTGACAAAAAATTCCTCGCTGAAGCTGCTGTGCGATTTGAGTAAGTGGAGTTGGGCAGAAGGGCCTTCTTTGCAATGGGGGGAGGTTCTTGTTGGTACTGGACTGGTATTGAGGGTTCCTGGCTGCTGCCCTGCAAGGGGGGAGCACATCCTGCAGCCTGCTTTTGCTGCGCCTCCTCAGGTGTGTGTTCCTGCCGGACAATGGGGCCTTCTTCGTCAACTATGTCATTGCCTCTGCCTTCATCGGGAATGCCATGGACCTGCTGCGCATCCCCGGCTTGCTAATGTACATGATACGCCTCTGCCTGGCCCGCTCGGCCGCTGAGCGGAGGAATGTCAAACGAGTATGTAGTGGGACTGAGGGGGTGGGTTGTGGCCTCCACCTGGGGATGGGAGTGCTGTGATGGGGCCCCCAATGCTGTGTGTACAGCTGGGTGTGTTGCACATCCCGCTCAGCTCCCAGGGTCGTGCTGACGGGTCTGTGTTCCCTCTGGCAGCACCAGGCCTATGAGTTCCAGTTTGGGGCTGCTTATGCCTGGATGATGTGCGTCTTCACTGTGGTCATGACATATAGCATCACCTGCCCCATCATTGTCCCTTTTGGTAAGTGATACCCCTCTGCCTCCCTGTGTCAGAGGCTGGGGAGAGCTCGAGGCTGGGAGGCAAGAAGGGTGGCACGGAGGAGATATTCCCTGTCAGTCAGAGGCACTGCGGAAGAAGCTGATTCCCTGCTCTGCTGGCATCCCTCCCTTTCTCCCAGGGCTCATGTACATGCTGCTTAAGCACCTGGTGGACCGATACAACCTGTATTATGCTTACTTGCCTGCGAAACTGGACAAGAAGATCCATTCGGGGGCTGTGAACCAGGTGGTGGCAGCCCCCATCCTCTGCCTCTTCTGGCTTCTCTTCTTCTCCACCATGCGCACAGGTGAGCACTGGGCTGGGATGCCAGCCCCTGGCTTCCTACAGAGCTGCTTCCCTGGCCAGGCTGTGGTCCTGGCAGCCCCCAGCCATGGAGCATGGTCAGGGTCCCTCTGACACCACCACTTTGGTTTTCCTTTGCCCCAGGTTTCCTGGCCCCCACTTCCATGTTCACCTTTGTGGTCCTCGTGATCACCATTGTGATCTGCCTGTGTCACGTCTGCTTCGGGCACTTCAAATACCTCAGCGCTCACAACTACAAGGTGAGGTGGAGTGCTGGGTGGGGGGGTGGGATCCTTCTTCTTGGGAGCACAGCTCAGCAGCGGAACAGTGGGGGCTCTGGGGGGACCCCAGACTGCTCCCCAGCAGAGCCTCTCAACCCTGGTTTCACAGAGGGGACAGTCCCAACGCTGTCCCTGCTGCCTGTATGCTGCTCCTGTGGTGGGACAGCAAATGTGTTGCCCCAGCAGTCTGTCAGTTTCTCCTTTCCTCTCCAGATTGACCACACGGAGGTGGACACCATAGAAAACAGGCAGAATGGGAGACCTGCCACCAGTCTGCCAGCTCCCAAATCAGCTGTGAGTCCCTTTCCCTGGTTCCATGCCCTGGTGTGCTCCTTACCCAGGTTTGGGAAGGGGGAGGTAACTCCCTGTCCAAGTACCTTGCTCTTCACCTCTCTGAGGCAGCACTGTGCTTTGGGGACTCTCCTGTCCCCTACCCAACATTCTGAGATCCCAGAGTCAGTTTTTTGAACTTCTCCTTGGCTCACTGGCTCATTCCAGCTGCTTCCTTCTACCATGAGATTTTTCTAGTTGGGGTCTGCTTGGGGCTGTTCAGGGAGTACATGCAGAGATGCAGTAAAGTAGAGCCTTCTGCTTCCTCAGGAGAGCAGGGCTGGGGTGTGCACATGTAATCCAGGCTTATTCCCAGTTTCCATGTACCTAAGGGCAGTGGCATCTCTCCAAAAGGAGATTCCCCATAAGGAGGCAGGCACAGCCTCAGAGGGACATGTCCACTGGCAAAAAAGGGAGCACAGTCTTCCATTTCACGTGAGCTCCAAAGAGCTCAGAAGTCCCATGCTTTCCCAGCCCTGGCTCCCTGGGGGTGCTGCCTGTCCCAGGATGCTGGGGTTTGGCACATCCATTGTTGCAGGGCCAAGCCAGCCCCGCTTTTACCCCCTTTCCTGGTACATCCCATGGAGACTGGACCCTTCCTCGCCCTCCCAGCATATCCCCACGCTCAGTCTCTTGCAAGGCGCTTTGCATGTTGTGCTGTGCTGCCATGAGAAGCCCCTGGGCTCATGTGCATTTCTGTTCTTTCCCCACCCCTCGCCCGTCCTGTGCCTGGCCCTGGCAGAAGTACATTGCCCAAGTGCTGCAGGACTCCTCGCCTGAGGGCGAAGCGACAGAGTCAGAGGAGCAGGGGTCGCAGGACGAGGAGCTCATCAATGCAGATGGCATGAACGACACGGATTTCCAGTCATGTGAGGACAGCCTGATAGAGAACGAGATCCACCAGTAGGGACCTCGGAAGGCGGGAGGGGAAGGAGGCCCAGGAGTGAGGCAGGCTGTGCGCATGGAGACCTAGGGAGAGGCACCCAAGGGTGCTGGCCGTTGCCCTTGCCTGCCCATCCCCCAGGGCCGCTGCCTTCAGTGAGGGCAGGGGCCCTGCCACAAGCTCTCCGTTTCCCTGCTGGTCCAGCAGCTCAGCAGGCATGCCTCTTACTAGCTACCTTTAATGTGTCCCCAGACCCCAAAACCCTGGGGGCTGGGGAGGAGGGGGGCTGTGACCCCCATGGTGCTGCTCTGGACCTGCAGGGAGGAGGAAGGCTGGGTGCTTTGTGGGGAGCAAGAGGGCGCAAGGGGAACCTTTGGGGTCTTCTCAGCAGGCCCCTCTGTCCCCTGTCCTCCTGGCGAGAAACACTAATAATTTATTAGATTTACAGGAAGGTGATAAACAAAATGCTTTAGTCAGTGAATTGGAAGCCCCACCTAGGGAGGGGGGTGGCTTTTGTTGCACCTTCTCCCCATGCCTGCCCTTTCTCAACCCCTTGCAGCATCCACTTGGCGTGACATGCCAGGAGCTGGGCCAGGCACCAGGGGCTGGCGAGAGAGACCTCCCCCCCACCCCACCCTGGCAAAGGTGACAGCCTGGCCTTTTGGTCAGGGGTGGCATCAACCTGGGAAGGGGCATGGCGCTGGCATGAGCTGGGCAGCCCCTCACAGGGTGAGGGGTGCTGAGGGCATTTCTCATGGGCAGGAGGGAGGCGCAGGCAGCCTCTCCCCCAGGTCCTGTGCCGTCCTCCCCCAGGGGCACAGTCAGGGGATTGCAGCATCATTTTAAGTGGCATTTTTTTTTTTTTTGCACATTGTACTCCCCTTTCAAACAAAAGTCAACTTGACCCCCATGTGGTACTGTGACCTGACCCCCTTTGCTGCCCTGTGTCTGCACAGCAGGGTCAGGCCCAGGGATGGGGGTGGCTGTGCTGGAGGTCTCTTGGGTGCTAGGGAGAGGGGAGAAAGGGTACTGGACTGCAGGCCCTTGGCACCCTGCAGGATCAGTGCTGCCCAGTTGCGATGGGGCCCCATGGGCTGCCTTTCTTGAGCTGCTGCGGGATCGTCCCCCAGCTGAGGCAGTCAGGGAGGGAGGGAGCCCTGGGAGAGCAGCCCCTGGAAGCCTTCTCCAAGCAAGCCCACCATCTTCAGGAGCACAGAAGCCTCGTGGAGCTGTGCTGGCTTTCTTCACCTGCCCTGACTGGGTGTAGGCTCCCCCAGCATCACTCAGCCTGAGAGAGGGGGCTGTTCTTCCCCTCCCTCTGCCTTTGCCCCCTCTCTGGTAATAGCAGTGTTCCAGAGGTAGTGAGGGGATAGGTTGGATGGGAGAGGTGGACTGGAGCCCCTGGCATCCACAGGGAGGTCTGACCTTGTTTGAAGGCTTTTTGTGAGGAGGTCTCTGGTCAGGATCAGTTGCCCTCGATTGCTTCCCCCCTGCCCTTGTGTAAAATGTAAAGGAAAATAATAAATCTCCCTGCTATTGAGCTATATTTATTTCCCTCAATTCCTTGCCACCATCCTGTTTGGTGCTCATTGCAGACACTACCACCCTCTCTTTGGCTATCATCTGCAGGTGCTGCTCTGGCTCAGTGGGGCCGTGCCCTCCAGGGTCTGATGGGGCCAGGTGGAAAGGGACAGTCATTTACCTTTTCAATCACCTGTGCTGGCCCTGGAGCTCCAAGCACTTTAATAGACCTGAACAAGTGAAGTGTCAGCCCTGCCCAGCTCCGTTCCAGGGTAGGGTGATCGCATCCCATGGCTTTTCTCTCCCTCACCCCCTATTAAAGGAGGGGAGCCAGAGACACAGAGCAGGTGGGGGGGGGCTGCTCTGAGGATGACATAGCTGACTTTCCTGTACACCTCTCTATAGGAATCCCAGGCCCAGAGGAAAGGGGGGATGGAGGGGAAGAGATGTGGGTCTGATGCATGGGGAGGGCAGGTCACCCCAGCTCCCAGGGCTCAACCAGGGCTGGAGTGCATGTGGGTGCAGAGGGGCATAGTAAGTGTCACCCTGTCCCCTCCAGGGATGGGCTAGAAATTAAATGAGCATGTGAGCTGAGAGCTCCTGGTCCCCTCCCAGGCTGGGGGGGGAGAATGTTGATCCTGCTTCCCTATTCTTGCACCCACCTACTGCCCTTGCCCCCGGTCCAGCAGGCGGGCTGGGATATTCCAGTCTCTGTAGGTACGGCTGTAGCCCAGGACTCTGTGGCTGTCAGGGCTCTGCCCGCGGAGAGCTGTGTGTTCCGAGTGGCACTGTCTGTGTAGAGATGTGTATAATACCCTGTATATATTTGTGTACAAAAGTAAAAAGGAAAAAAAGGAGCTATTGTTCTTGCAGTCTTTTCTTTGTGGAGCGGGTTGGGAGCTGGGACCTGGGAGGAGAGGACCCCAGCTGCAGCAGGGATGCAGGAGCGTGCGTGGTGCAAAAGGAGGAGCAGGGGGTTGTGCGGTCCCCCTGTGTGAGTACAAGCCCTGCCCTGCTGCTGGGAACCCAGCTGTGTCTCACGGGTCCCAGCCCAAGTGGGCTCTCCCTCTGGCTTGCAGAGGCATCGAAAGCTTTGCTGCTAAAAGCGAGTTGGATGGGGAGCTGCATGCACTGAGGCTGGGATGGGGAAAGATGCTTTGGGAATGGTGTGGGAGAAGAGGGGAGGGGAGTTTTACTGGTAGCTTCTGTAGCAGATGTTAGCCCAACCCTATGGTCCCAATAGCAATTTATGTGACTGCTCCTGCCCCCTCCATCCAGGAACCTGTCTCCCAGCCTTGTTTGGGTGGACAGCTAAAAGCCTTTGGGAAAGGGTGAGGGATGCTAGATCCCTGGAGCACAGCTTGGCTGGGAACACTTTCCTGTTGTGTGATGCTGCTTGTAGCTCAGCCATCCTCCAAGCACAGGGGCAGGCAGCAAGCAGCCAGCCCCCAGGACTGCTCCCTGCTGCTCTCTGGTGCAGGCTGGAGCAGGGATGGTTCCCAGGCAGCTGCTGCATGCTCGTTAATTTGTGTACAGTGGCTGTTACTTGGAGGATGGTACAACGGAGAGGGGAGGTATGGGGCAGGCCTCTCAGAGATGGACAAGTGACCCCAGGCTCCCACCTCCGTTCCCACCTTGCTGTGTTCAGGCTCTGTGGCTTCATGTGCCAGCGGCACAGTGTGAGCAGGGGACAAAAAAACTCTCCTTCCCCTGGCAGCCCGCAGCCAGAGGACTGGGAAGAGGCAATGCCTGGGCACAGACAAAGAACCAAAAACTGAGAGAGGAATGGTGTGCACTGCCAAATCCCTGCAGGCATCGCTGCAAAGTGAAGCTTGAGGGAAGAGAACAAGAAACTGCTCCCAAGCACAAGGGGCAGGACATGGGACAGCCTGCAGGACAGGATTATGCAGGAGCTGTCTCCTACCCCAGGAGAGTCAGCTGTGAAAGCAGCTTTAAAGGCCACTGAGGGGTAATGAGGCAAGAGATGAACAGGAGGAGAATGGGATCACAACAAGGATGGGCAGTGTCTGGAGCGGATCTGTGCAGGCAGGATGGTCAGTGGTGGTCAAGGCCAAAGAAAAAGTTGGCAGAGCCATTCAGGCACAAGCTCAAAGCAGGAACAAACCCTGGTGGTGCAGGTCTGTTTGCTCCTTGTCTGAAAGCACGCTGCTGTCTGCAGCTTGGTGCAGAGCTGGCTGGTGACCCCAGCAGGGCCCCCCTTGTTGCTTCCAGCTTGCAGGCAGTGGGGCAGCTGTCTTCTGGCTAAGATGGAGCAGCTGCTGTGGCAACCCAGAGCAAGACACCCCAAAGCCTCCTCTGTGCCAGGGTGGGCAGAACAAGCTGCCTGTGGCAGGCTCTCCTAGGTGGGGATGGGGACAGGGCCAGAGCCAGAGTATTCCTTTGTGGGTGTGGCAGCAGGACCATGCTACAGCTGGTTTTGAGTGTCCTGATTGCCCTTCCCTTGGGCAAGGGACACAGCTCCTAACCCCTTGTGCAACCTGCTCCCTGCTTAGCAAAGATTTGCCTGCCTGGGGTGGGGTGGGATGGGTTAGAAAGTAGGTGCTTTGTGAAGCCTGGGGGAGCAGCTGGGTGCCGGCTCCTTCAGTGAGGCAGTGTGGGCACAGCCTCCCTAGCTGCAGCCAGGCACAAGGGGAGGAGAAGGAGCCCCATGGTTGGTGACACCCATTGGGATCACCATGTTCAGCCCTGGCACCAGAAGGATGGCAGTGCAGAGCTTCTTCCTGGGGCTGGGGCAGGTGGGGCTGGGCCAGGCTGTGCCGAACTGGGCTGAGCTGAGCTGGTGTTGCCAGGCCAAGCCATGCTGTGCTGAGCCATGTTGGGCTAAGCCACACTAGGCCAAGCTGTGCCAGTCCATGCTGCGCCATACCATGCCAGACAAAGCCATATTGCACCACACTACGTGGAGCCGTGCCAAGCCCCGCTGTGGCTATGCCTGTCAGCAACGGCACCACCCGGCATAGCTGTGCAGTGAATCACGGAGGGCACGCACGGGCAGCCCTGCTGCAGGAAGCTCTAGGGCAGTGGGACCTGCTCGGGATGGGCCCTGCCCAGCAAGGGCCAGCTGGTGGGGTGGGCTTGCTGGCCATGACTGCCTGGGCTTGCAGGAGTGAAGCGGTGCAGACATAGCCTCCCCAGGCACAAGGGAAGGAGAAGGACCCCATGATGGGTGACACCCGTTGGGGCCACCATGCTCAGCCGTGGCACCAGGTCAACAAGCCCTGGGACCAGGCGCAGCACAGAGCTTCACCTAGCAAAGCTGGGGCAGTGCCGTGTCACCCTCAAACACTTTCCCAGAGGAGTCGCTTCCTCTTCTCCTTCCAGCCCCGGTTTCCATGTGCACCAAGCCCTTTGCTCGGAGCAAAGGTGGAAGGAGCGCGCCCAGCCCGGCGCTACCCCTCCATCCCCGGGAGCTGGGAGGGGGTGACAGCAGCCAGGACCGCACCTGCAGCCCCGCTAAATCACTTCCCGGTAGCTGTGAGAGGTCGCTGCGCCTTTAAGTCCCCCTCCCACCGCCCCCCCCCCGCCTTTGCTCGCACATCCTGCCCGCTGAAACCCCACCTTCCGCGGGGCCGTACCGAGCCGAGCCGGGCTGGGCTGGGCTGAAGCGGGCAGGGCGGTGGCGGCGGCAGCTTCCGTAAGTCCACCCCCCCCTCCCCATCCTCACCCTTACCCTTATCCGACCCCCAGCACGGGGTTAGTACCGGAGGGGCCCCCGCCGCCCGGCGGGCAGGCTCCTCCGCCGCGGGGGCGAACGCCCTGCCCGCTCGACGGCGAGGGCCCCCCGGGCTCTGAGCTGCTCCAGGCTTCCCTATCCCTGCCCCCCTTCCTCCACCCCTTTTTATCCGCGGGGATTTTTGCATTAGATAATGCAGCCGCAGAGACCCGGAGGCTTCCCAATCAGGGCGGCGAGTAAACTGGGTACCGCGGCGACCCGGGATGCGATGCCGACTCCGGATTTCGTCGAGGGGATGCGGGAACATAAAAGGGGAGCTTGTGGGAAATGAAGATTTTTGTCACCCGGAGGGCTGGGCTGGGCCTGAGAGCTGCTTGCGCAGTGTGGCACCCTATGGGTGGCTGTGGTTCCTTGCCCCGAGCTGAGTATGCGGCAGGATGCGGTGTCTGGGCTCGGCCTGGCTGGTTTTAAAGAAGGGAGCTCCCCCTTCCTTCGATCTCCAAGAGCAGCTGGCAAAGCAGAAGTCTGCAGAGATTTTTGGCTGGACTTCAGCAATGATGCTGTCCAGGGGGGTTTCAGTATGCACTAAGGTGCACGAGGTATCCAGGGCACCAGCATATCTTTCTGCTCCCACTTTGGAGGGATGAGAGGTGCCTCTGATACTGGAAAGCATCATATTGTGGTTGGATGTTGCCTGGTGTGGAAGACTGCCCTGGGGGCTTGGTTTGTCTCTGCACGCCCTTTCCTCACCCCGTAGAGGACCTGCAGGGTCCATCAGCATCAGCCTGGGGGGGGTGTCAGCAACTGACCCCATTGCTTAAAGCCCCGCATGGTTCCTGTCCCATCCTGGGGTCTGAAATGTTTTTCCTCACTCTGCGCTTGCGCGACCTCCGTCTGCTGCTAAGCACAGCCTTCCCAAGTATTTTGAGCCACAGAGCTAAGAATAACTCACACAGTGCCCACGTCTGGACTGCACACAGCTCCCCATGTCCGCGGCCATGTCCAGTGCCGGTAGGCAGGATGGGAGAGGGTGCAGGGAGCCTGGCAGGGGCTGCGGCCCTCAGCAGGCTGTGGTGTGAGTGCTGGGGAAGTAGCAAGGTGGGAGCTGGAGGCTGTGCGGGTGGCTGCATTTGGGATTCCTCCTCCTGCAGCCCCCCGGGCTCTGGGCAGCGGCTCGGATCAGAAGAGTCATTCCAGCCAGCTCTGTAGGCAACAAGTGCCTCGCTGCTGGGAGAGGCTGCCAGGGTGCTGGCTGCGGAGCCGGAGTTGGGGGGGAGGAGATGATGGAAAAGGGCTGAGCTCCATAGATTTGGGGCCATTGTAGAGGACAGAAGGGCTGGTGCTGTCTTTGAGAAGGACAGTGGGTTTAGAGCATCCCAGGACAGGCAGAGTGATGGGGAGGAGCAGATTTTCCTCCTGAAAAGCTTCTGGTTCGGGCAGCCCCTTGGGTTAGCAGCTAGATTTATGCCCCGTGCACCTGCCAAGAGCTTGCACCCTTTTTGCTGTTGCCTGCCTTCCCTTAACTATCACAGCACTTCAGGACAAGGAGAGACGCCTCTCCGGAGCCAGGCTGCACCCTGCTCCCTTGGGACGGGGCGCTGGGGAGGCCACAGGCCAGCACTGGCATCCTAGCCTGCTGCTCTAGTGGATTGCTGGCTCCCGGGTTATTTACCCAAGGACTGCTCCCCTGCCTCGTGCGGAGAAACCTCCAGAGTATTCAGCACCAGCCCTGCCGAGCAGGACCTGAGATGGCTGGGGAGTGGGGCAGGGTAAGCCGCAAACGCCAGTGGGCCCATGGTGGTGGCACCTGCCTCGTGGCCCTGCTGCAGGTGACCCTGCTTGCGTGGGGGGTTGGACCAGACAGCCCCCGGAGGCCCTTTCCAGCCTGGGTGGCGCGGTGGGCGCGAGCGCCGGCTCCTGCCACGGGTGCCTGAGCAGGGCTGAGGGCAGCCAGGGGCAGGGAGGGGAGTTGGGGCTTGCCCCACTGCAGCGGGCGCAGTGGGGCAGGGCAGCGGGGCCAGGCACGCCCGGCAGCTGTGTCATGCCGGTTCGAAGCACGGAGCCATGAGCTGCCGGTTAAAGCCACTGGGAGGAAGCCCCTGTGGCAAGGCCTTCGCCGGGGCGAGGGACCGGTGCGGTGGGGGGGGGCTCTGCAGGGTCTGCACTGCCCCGGTCTCCTGGTGCTGGGGTGCCCCGCTGCAGCCACATCCCTTTCCCAGTGCCTCCCAGCAGGCTGCTCCACTGGCCGTCGGCGAGGCTTGAGTCACCCTGCCTGTGTGCGTGCCGGGAAGGGCCGTCCCTCCTGCCTCTTCCTTCCCTTCTCCTCCGCTGGCCCCATAGACAGAGCTGTCTCTGCCCCCCACTGGGCTCCTCCCTTCCCGGCCCTATTGACTCAGTGCTCAGGCAGCCGGGGCGGCTTGAGAGGGAGAGGGAGAGGGGCCCAGGGCTGGGAAAAGCTGCGGGACGGCCGCTGACGCCCTCCTGGCTGCGACAGGCGAGGAGGAGCTGGGACGAGGGAAGGTCCTGGAAAGCTGCGCCGGGAGGAGAGGCTGTCGGAGGCGGAAAGCGTCTGAAATTCCTCCGGGCTCAGCCCTTCCACGCAGCAGGGACAGACAGGATGGGAGAGCCACGGCCTGACCACCAGTGAGCTGCCTCCTTGTAGCTGGCCCTCAAAGCCACTCTGCTCCTTCGGTGTCCCCTAAAGACAGCAGGGCTGCGATGGCCGGGCTGGAGGCCATGGATCAGAATGGGGCTGCTGCTAGGGATGGGATTTGGGGAGGTCCTCCTGGTGTGTGGGCCCACCCTGGGGATGCTCTATGTGGCAGCTCTGCTCGCTGTCCCAGGGCAATGCTGACGGAGAAGATCCCTGCTGTGGGGGTGGTGGGGAACTGGAGATCCAGCCTCTGAGCCTGGCACTGTGTGAAAAGGCTGACGTCCCCAGGGGGTGCATGGGTACCGGGCCCTGCCTCAGCCCAGCCATGCCTCTTTTGTTGCAGGGAGCGGAGCTGAAGGTAGCGCTGCCGGTGCCCAGCCATGATGCCCTTCGGTGGGATGGCTGCCCGTCTGCAGAGGGACCGCCTGAGAGCCGAGGGGGTTGGCCAACACAACAATGCTATCAAGTACCTCAACCAGGACTATGAGGCCCTTAAACAGGAGTGCATTGAGAGCGGCACCCTCTTTAGGGACCCCCAGTTCCCAGCTGGCCCCTCTGCCCTTGGATTCAAGGAGCTGGGGCCACACTCCAGCAAGACGCGGGGGGTGGAGTGGAAGCGTCCGTCGGTAAGTGCTGGGCTTGCTTTTCCTCGGGCTGGGCTGGCATCCCTACCCTGCAATGTCTGCACTGATGTGGTTTGCCAAGCTGCAGTGTGGCCCTGGTCTGCTCCTCTCGGTGCTCAAAGTCCCTCATGTGCTTCATAGCCCACTTTCCCAAGGGCTTAGAGCAATGCCCTATGAGTGTCTGCTCAGAAAAGCATCATGTCTAGCAGGCCCTGCTTTCTCTGGGCAGCAGACCATGGGCTTTAAAATGGGTGGGCTATGTCATTGCTTCTGGGTGTCATGGCATGGATGTATCACCCTCGGTGACTGGGGCTTTTGAGGGTGTATATCCCCTGGTGCCACAAGTGCAAGGGGAGTGCCGTTAGTCTATCTAGCTGTGTCCTCCCATGGCTATGGCAGAAGGTCTTGCTTTCCCTTAGCCTTACTGTGATGGCCTTGGGGTTGCTGTCAAGCAGATTTCCCTGGCAGAGGGCAGGTGGGGTGCAACTCTCAGGGACCATATACCCTTCCCCCTGACTCAGAACTGCAGCGGGTGCCAGCCCCCCAGAAGCCCAGGCCCTGCCGAGATCTAGCACCAGCATCTGATTCTCTCTTCCTCCTGCAGGAATTAGTGGATGACCCTCAGTTCATTGTTGGCGGTGCAACCCGGACAGACATCTGCCAGGGGGCTCTGGGTGAGTGCTGGGGCTCTGTCCCCAGACCTTGGTCTGGAGAGCAGTGGCTGGGGAGGGTTGGCATGGCTGGAGAAGACATGTTTGTGTAAGGTTGAGGGTGGACCAGTTTCACAGCACCTTTCCCCAGGCCCACGCAGCACATTTTCATGTCAGCCTCTGCACAACCATCTCTGTACCAAAGGCTCCCTTCCCATTTTAGTGCGGTAGAAACTGGAAGGCAGGGGATACCCTGTGCCTCCTGGTGGCTCTAGGTTAAGGCTCCATGAAAATGGGTCGATGTGTGCACAGCAGGAGTGTCATCCTGATCTGGATCAAGTTGGGCACTTGATTGGGAGTATTGTGTACCTTAGCACACATAGCACACTGGTTTCAGGGCTAACCACATTTAATGCATCCAGTAATTAGAACAAACTTGAGGTGGTAACTGGAGCACGTAGCAGCCCAGAGCACTGTGGCGGTATTCAATTGGTCATTAAAAAGTCTGAAATGCCATTTTGTCAAACCACAGCCTGGTACAGGTTATCCAGGCTCAAGGCTAAGGTGTGACAGGCTTCAAAGGCAAAAGAGAAAGGGGAACCAAGGCAAAGAATTTAAAGCGCAGTACTGGCCTGGAGCAGCACTTGCGGTTAAGAGCACTTGGAAGGAAAAGTGTGGTGGTGTTGCTTGCAATTTGAGAAGCTGGGGCAGCAGCATTAAACCTCTTGTTTGATAAAATGGTTTTTTAAATGCAAAATGTAATTCCACTGCAGAACTCCCTGTCTGAGATGTGGAGGGCAGTCATACGAATGAGTCCCAGGAGGGTCTAGATAAACGGCTGCAGAAGGGGGCTGTTGGTGCTGACTGTACGTGGTGGTCTGGACACAGGCTCCAGGTCAGGGAGGATTGTTCCCTGTTGCCTTGAGCTAATACTTCTCTCTGAGGCAGGCTGAACAAGCCTGGCTCCCTGAGCTCTGTCTGCTGGACCCTCTCTGGTTACTCCACATGCTTTTTGAGCTGTTTGCAAGGAGAGCATGCCGTGGGCTCCTACACATCCACCACCTACCACCCCAGCTAGGGAGGTGGTGGGTGCTCACACTGGCTTCCTCTCCTTCCCCAGGCGACTGCTGGCTGCTGGCTGCCATCGGCTCCCTCACACTCAATGAGGAGCTCCTGCACCGTGTGGTGCCTCACGGGCAGAGCTTCCAGGAGGACTATGCCGGCATCTTCCACTTCCAGGTGGGCTGGGAACTCCTGGCCCTCCACAGGTGGTGGGCTGGGGACAGGAGGGAGGGCAGTGCATTGAGGGCATCCCTCTGGGGTAGGGATGAGCAAGTCGTGTGATGCTCTGAGCTCACTCCACTCTCTTCTGATCCCTCAGATCTGGCAGTTCGGTGAGTGGGTGGACGTGGTGGTGGATGACCAGCTGCCCACCAAGGACAGGGAGCTTCTGTTCGTGCACTCGGCAGAGTGCACTGAATTCTGGAGTGCTCTGCTGGAGAAGGCCTATGCCAAGTGGGTACCCCTGTGGTGGGCACGTGGGCGGGTGGGGGACAGGGCAGCTCACTGTGCGGGGTGGCAGGGAGGGGGTCTTTTCTATCCCTAGCCCTGCTTGTGCTGGGTGCTTGGGGAGCAGCAGTGTGCTACATCCTTGTCACTTCACGCGCCCCTCTCTCTGACGGTGCTCAGGCTGAATGGCTGCTACGAGGCACTCTCGGGGGGAAGCACCACCGAGGGCTTTGAGGACTTCACCGGCGGCGTGGCAGAGATGTATGACCTCAAGCGGCCGCCGCGTAACATGGGCCAGATCATCCGCAAGGCACTGGAGAGGGGGTCCCTGCTGGGCTGCTCCATCGATGTAAGTGGTGTGCCGGGATGAGCCAGGGGCTCTGCCCCAGTGGTGGCCAAGGCGAGGCCTTGCAGCCTGAGATTGTGTCAGCAGTTCCCTCACTGGGACACCAGGCAGGAGGTTACTTCTTTCTCCTCTTAGCAGAGCACCCTTTCCAGAGCCAGCATGTCAGCCCCAGGGCACAGTGCATGGGGCTGCAGCCCAGCTGCTGTGAACAGGCTCTTTTGGATGGAGCGGGAATGTCCATCTCAAGTGTGGGCTGTTAGAACAAGGGTCTGCCTATAGCTCTAGCCATGTCTTATGTCAGCGTTTGAGAATTATCTGGAGTGGGTTTTCCATCCATTCCCTCTCGTGAAATCCTTTTCTTGGTTTCTGAAGTTTGGACAGTTGCCTGATGGATCTTCAGGGTCTACTGGCTGGGAAACTGTCTTTACATTGTCCTCAGCCAGCAGCCTTTGAGCAGAGGGTGCTGGTACCTGCTGCTTCTCTTGACTGGAGCAGTGCTAAGCAAGGGGGATTCTCTACATGGTGGAGGGAAGGAGTAGGGATAGGACTATATGAATTTTATCATATTCACTTGAGCTTTGCACACTCTCCTCAGATCACAAGTGCCTTTGATATGGAAGCGGTGACCTTCAAGAAGCTGGTGAAGGGCCACGCCTATTCTGTCACAGCCTTCAGAGATGTGAGTTGGCTAGATGAGACTTTAATAGCAATAAAATAGCCTGGACAGTGTCATAGGCTCAACCTCCTGTGTCTGCTGACTGGCAGGTGAACTACCGGGGTCAGCAGGAACAGCTCATCCGCATCAGGAACCCCTGGGGTCAGGTGGAGTGGACCGGAGCCTGGAGCGATGGGTGAGCTGGACAGATGGGACTTCAGTCCCGCCACTGGCAGGCCAGGAGGCACTGCACACACGGCAGTTGAGTGCACGGCACTGCCAAGCGGAAGTTTGCAGTGTGCAGTGCCCTTCACATCAGAGAGGGGGGGTAGTTGAGGGCCAGCTTTGAAGTGCTCTCAGTTCACCTTGAGTAGTCCTCATCTAATTGTCTCTCCTGCTGTTCCAGCTCCTCTGAGTGGAACAACATTGACCCTGACGACAGGGAAGAGCTGCAGCTGAAAATGGAGGATGGGGAGTTCTGGTGAGTGCAAAAGTGCTGCTCTTTTTCAGCAGCCAGCCTGGGAAGCAGCAGAGGAGCTGGGGAGAGATCCTGTGGCCCTACTTCACCTGAAACACATGACCTGCCTTTATGAGCTGCCTTTCCAGCACTGGAGAGCCTGCTAGCATTTTCTCATCTGATCTAGTTAATAATTTTCGTCCCTTCAAGGAAATTCAGCCCAATTAAATGCAAAATAAACATCTAGGAAGGGTAAACATCTCTTCTTCCCCAAACCCAGCAGCGGGCTTTAAATGAGCTATAACTGCTCAGGGTAAGATCTTGCTGTCACTTAATTCTCCCAAAACGCTGGCTGGGTCTGGAGCTGCTTGCACTCTCCTCCCTCCCTGCCAGCAGTGTCCTGGCCTCAGCCCTTGCCTGCCTCCCACAGGATGTCCTTCCGGGACTTCATGAGGGAGTTCTCCAGGCTGGAAATCTGCAACCTGACCCCCGACGCCCTCACCAAGGACGAGCTCAGCAGATGGCACACGCAGGTGTTCGAGGGCACATGGCGCCGGGGGAGCACTGCCGGGGGCTGCAGGAATCACCCAGGTACATCTCCCCTCTGCACCTCCGCTCTTGGCAGCATGATGGAGCCAGGTGTCTCAACCACGCATCCTCTTCCAGCCACATTCTGGATCAACCCCCAGTTTAAGATCAAGCTGCTGGAAGAGGATGATGACCCTGGGGACGACGAGGTGGCCTGCAGCTTCCTGGTGGCTCTGATGCAGAAGCACCGGCGGCGGGAGCGGCGGGTGGGGGGCGACATGCATACCATCGGCTTTGCTGTCTACGAGGTAACCCCTGCCCACCCCGATGCTGCTTCTTTGGGATGGGCTCAGCCCTGCCAATCCTGCCTCAACCTGGCACCGCAGTCCTCAAGGAAACCTTTCCCACCTGCTTTGGCAAGGCTGTGGGTTAATGTCCCCTGTCCCATGCTCCATGCAGCTGTAAGGGCTGGGGGCAGGTACTAGGATTCTGATTTTTTTTTTTCCCCCCTTTTCTCTCCTCCCTGCAGGTTCCTGAGGAGGTACGTCCTGAGTTGCCGGAGCCTACCCACTCTTGGAGGAGAGCGCAAGAGTGGGAAGGAATGGGTTAATGCACATGCATGCACACATGTGCACCCAGTGGTGTGGGAGCTCCCACCCTGCTGGCAGTGGCTAGGGTGCTAATGGGTGCTGGGCACCTCCATGTGGGAGGGATGGCTCCTGCTGGGATGGGCAGGATAGGGCAGGGCAGGGATGTCCTGTCTAACGGGGCTGGCTTTGGTCTTGCCGCTCCCTGTGGGTCACCACTGTTGAGGGGCTGTTGTCCACAAGTGCATTCATTCCCCCAGGCCCAGGGCACCCAAAACGTGCACTTGAAGAAGGACTTCTTCCTGCGAAACCAGTCCCGGGCACGGTCTGAGACCTTTATCAACCTGCGGGAGGTGAGCAACCAGATCCGGCTGCCCCCCGGTGAGTACATCGTTGTGCCCTCCACCTTCGAGCCACACAAGGAGGCTGACTTCATCCTGCGGGTCTTCACCGAGAAGCAGTCGGACACGGCGTGAGTCCCTCCCTGGCCAGGGGACGCCCTGTGTCTGTGAGTGGTGGGACATTTCCCCACCACAGGCAGCCAGCTGGCTGGGGACCCCGCTCATCACTGTTTTCCTCCTTTCTGCCCCCAGGGAGCTAGACGAGGAGATCTCTGCAGATCTGGCAGATGAGGTAGGAGCTGCTGCTTTGGTTCAGTTGGTACAAAGGCTCTGGGGCTTGGGAGGGGGAGCTGCAGGCAGGAGGTGTGTCACTGTGGCTGGAAGGGGCTAGCAGGGTTGAGGTGATGGGGATGTGGGAAGTAACAAAGGTAAGATGAACAAAGAAGAGCTTCCCTTCCAGTTTGGGTTTGCTGAGCCTGGGAGGTAGGGCAGAGCCCAGGTTTGACCACTAACCTCTTCTTTCTGGCCTGTGTCACCCCAGGAGGAAATAACTGAGGATGACATAGAGGATGGCTTCAAGAACATGTTCCAGCAGCTGGCAGGGGAGGTGGGTACAGCTGCGCTGAGCCGTCGGAGGCCCTGGCCTGGGGAGGGAATGGGATAGGATCCCTGGCCGTGAGACCTCCAGCCTACCCCACGCTCACTCAGTTCCATGCTGCAGACAAGTCCATCTCTACACGGCTTAGCCCAGCTGCCCCCAGGGGTGGTGTGATGGGAGCAGATTTGGGGAAGGGGCATCCAGCTGTGGCCCAAACTCTTCTGGGCATGCAGAAAATGCAATGGCACCCTGATGTGTTGTGACTAAGGCAGAGATGTTTAGGTGGGGAGGAATGGCCACAAGTGGGGTGGAAAGCAGGCAAGGGGTGCTGCTAACTCTGCTCCTGCTGCAGGACATGGAAATCAGTGTCTTCGAGCTCCGGACTATTCTGAACAGAGTCATTGCTAGACGTAAGTGCTGCCCTTCCCGCCCTTTCAGGCCTGCTCAGCAGGTTGGGTTTTAATGCACATGCTCAACCTCCTCCTTCCTCCTCAGACAAAGATCTGAAGACGGATGGGTTCAGCTTAGATTCCTGCCGCAACATGGTCAACCTGATGGATGTATCCTCTTGGTGCTGCGGACAGGGGCCAGCTTTCCTGGCGCTCAGCCTGCCGGCAGCAAGACTTCTACACAGGAGCTGGGGCTTGGCTCTCCAGCCCTGCTGAGGCTGTTCAACCAGGGGAAGGAAGGAAGGGGTCCTTGTGGCTTCAGGGCCACCTGCCCTACACCTTTGGGCTTTAGCAGCAGGTTTTTTGGAAAAGGTCATCAGTTGCCCTGCTTGCTTTGGGCCCTGGCTCTGCCACCAGAAGCCTAGCCCTGCTCAGGCCTTCAACCTTCCCCTCTGGGAGGAAGCGCCCTGTGCCTCCCTTCCCCACAGGCTCCCCAGCCTGACGTGCCATGATGCCACCCAGCCTTTGAGACACTCCTGGAAGGGAACAAGGGCTCTTGGGTTTTTTCCCCCAAACCATCCTGTGCAGCAGTTGCGGATGAGAGGTGTAAAGTGACAGGAGCCATGGCGTGTGTTTCTGCTTGCACAAGGACAGGCAGCTGAGTGGTCAGGTGTGGGTAGAGGAGCAGCTCCAAGCCATTCTCTAGCCTGGCCCTGCAGCATCCCCTTTTGCTGCAGGCCAGCCCAGTTTTGCTCCAAGGACACCACAGCGATGTGCTTCCTACAGGAGCAGCACAGCTGCTCCCAGGGAGTGGCATGGCAGCTAGTTTAAGCATTGCTGTTTCCCCGCTGGGTTGCAGGCTCTGATCTTGCTGATGCTGCAGGACAGAGCGGGGAAGCTGGGGGGAAAATTGGGCAGGCCAAGTGTGGCCAGGCTTTTGTTGCCTCAGATGGCTGGAATCCGATGGCTTTGCCTTTACACCACCCCCTTTGCTGGCTGCTTTCTCCTTGACCCTCTGCTTCCCAGAAAGATGGCAGTGCCCGCCTTGGGCTGGTGGAGTTCCAGATCCTGTGGAACAAGATCCGGAGCTGGCTGGTGAGGAGGAGCGGGGGGTATGGCACACTGCATGGGGGTAGCACCCCTTCTGGGGCAGCAGGGTGAGGGGGCAGCCAGGCTGGAGGCCACAGGAGAGCCTGCCCTTCACATCCTCTATGATGTTTTTGCAGGCGATCTTCCGCCAGCACGACCTGGATAAGTCGGGCACCATGAGCTCCTATGAGATGCGCCTGGCTCTAGAGTCAGCCGGTAGGTCTGGGGCAGGATGGGGCTGGGCTGGGGACGGGGCTCATGCTGTTGGAGCCGTGTCCCAAGTAGCTGGAGAAGAGTGAAACCAGCCTATATTGTGTGCTTGGAGCCAACCTGTCGTGAAAGTGAGATGAGGCCCATGTCTGCACTGGGGTCTCTCCATCCCAGCTGTGCCAAGTGCTGGAGCCTCGGAGTTAAGGACACACACAAGGTGGTCCCAGCCTCTGTCTTCTGACCTGCAGGGTCCCATCCTGATGAAGCAGAGGCCTGGGGTGGATCAGTGAGCTAACTAGTCATATGGCTCCAAGGAGGGCATCCCCTCTTCCTGCTGAGGCTGGACTCGGTGCCATTCCTTGGGTGGGTTGGTGGTCCCTCTGGGTGGGGGCATGGACTTTCATAGTTACACCCTCCTTTCCTGCCTCCCTGGGGTGCTGACTCTTCTCTGCCTTGCAGGTTTCAAGCTGAACAACAAGCTGCATCAGGTGGTGGTGGCCCGCTATGCAGACGCTGACATGGGTGTGGACTTTGACAACTTTGTCTGCTGCCTTGTGAAGCTGGAGGCCATGTTCAGTGAGTGGTGGCTCTGGGGCAGGGAGGGTGGGGACAGAGAGATGTGTTGCTCACCTTGCTCTTGTGCCCCTGCAGGGTTCTTCCACAGCATGGACCCCGAAGGCACTGGCACCGCCATCATGAACCTCTCCGAGGTGAGAGCTCAGCCCAGTGGGGGGTGGGGTGGGAGACAAAGGGACAAGGCATTAGGGTGAATGGGGCACCTAGGCTGGGTGATAGAAAGCCCTCCAGTCCCTTGGGTAGGGAAAGAACCCATAAAAGATGAAGATAAGAAAAGGGATTGCTGCAGGCTCATCATTTCTTGGAGGGCTGGTAAAGTTGACGCATGAGGGCATGTCAGAAATGCACCAACCCCTGCTCATCCCTTCTCCCTCTCCTTCCCAGTGGCTGCTGCTGACGATGTGCGGCTAGGAGCCACGACAGATTCACCATGGCTGTGACACCCCGGCGGGCCAGTCCCCCTCCAAGTGCCTCCCCTTGGATCTGTGGACACAGAATGCTCTTCCCCCCTTGCTCCATCCCACGCTGAGCCACCAGCCCTGCCTCCCGGCAAGCCTTACACCACCCTCTCGGGTGGACCAGGGTCAAGGCAGGCAGGGGATGCTCTTCTCCTCTTCTGGGCTGGGCTTCTTTCCACTCCCCTCCTCCTCTCTCCCCACCCCAGAACAAGAGGAGGGCAAGCAGCATGGAGTACCTGTGCATCCCTGCACCGAGCTTGATGGGAGTGAAGGAGCAGGCTGGGGGCTGGCTGCAGAGCCAGGAGAGGCAGGAGCTGCAGGGGGAAGAGAGGGGCGACTCGTATTGCTTGCTCTAGTGCTGTCTCATCCCTGCCTGTCTCTGCTCACACCTGGGAGCATCAGCAGGTACTGCCTTGCTCAGGCAGAGGCAGCAGGTTCCTGGGGAGCTCGAGTGGCCTTCTGGGGGGAGGAAAGGCCATACTCTTCTTCTTGAAGCCCTTGCACTGCACTCATCACCACTAAGCACGACCAAAGCATGGAGTCCACTGGCTCTTTCTGCGTGGCCTTCAACACATCACTCCCACCTTCATGCCCGTGCCTTTGCCCCACCACTGGGTCAGGCACTGAATGCTTGGGGGCTCCCCTGCCATGTGAACACATGCTACCCTGTAGTGCAGCAGAAGCTCCTCTCTTCCATGTGGGCACAGCAATGCCCGTCGCAGCAGCTTGGCCACCCCTCCCATACCTGGGAGCTCCTGCGGCATCCACTGCCCCTGCTTATGGCCCATAGCAGGGCAGGCGGGGACCAACACCCAAGAGGGGATGCCTTCCCCCAGAGAGGAGGGGATGGTGATTTGAGGGAATGTTCTCCTGCATACAGTTGGGTTTTTTTCCCATTTCCCTCACCCTCCCACACTGTTACACTCTTTTCCTCCCTGGGGCTCCTTTGCCCAGTGCAGATGGGCTCCAGTGCCAGCGTATTTGCACTTCTCTGTGCTCCTCCACTCCCCTCACCTTCTTCTGGGATAATGGGGTGGCTCCAGCTTGGCAGTGGGTGATGGCCCATCCTTTGCCCTGTAGAGGCAGGCAGTCAGGCAGTTAGCTTCCCCCAGACCCCTGTCGTCGCTGGAGGATGCACCTGCAGCAATAACCACTGCTGCCAGCCCGGCAGCTCCGCTTCCTCACCCCCGCTCACTGCGCACTCCGGGAATAAACCAAGATCTGTTGGACGTGTGGCCTGGGCAGTGACTTGGGGGTCGCGTCCTCCCTCCACTCACTGTGGCCTGGGCTGGGGGGATGAGATGCGGAGCCAAGCCCAAGGCATGCTGCTTGCCCAGCCTGGGCCATGGGTAGAGGAGCACCACCAGGTACAGGTCTTGCCGTGAGGATGGGAGCATCCATATCCCCTAGGATTTTATAAAACTCACCTCTTCTTTTGCAGGGGCATCTTGTCACTGACACACGGGGGCAACACCATGTAAGAGAGGTGTAAGGGAGCACTGCTCTTCAAAGTGAGAGCAAGCAGCGTGCTGTTAGCAGGGCTGTTCGGTTATCCCAGGGATTTTTCAAGTAGAGGAAAAGCCAGTGCTTGCTCCCTGGTGTCAGTGGGAGGAAGAGTGTGTTACTGCTAGGCTGGGATGGGGGGGCCGGGGCAGTTTCACCCCAGCCTGTGCCCCGGGGATGTGGGTGTAGCCATGCTCCCACTCAGCTAGGGGAGCCCTGGGTCTGGTCATGGTGTCCCGAAGGCCTCCCCAGGGCACCACTGGGTGCCTCTGCCACGCAAGCAGCTGGAGCAGTTTAAACTCGCCGCCCCTTTGCCTTACCAGCAACCCAGCAGTGGCTGAAGACAGCTGGCGAGGCTCGGTTTGGCCCAGCAGATTTTGCGCTGGGTGGGTTAACATTGATCACGGTTTGCTGCCCTGGCTGGCCCCTTGCCATAGTCTCCTCTGCTGGGGGCAGAGCTGGGGTCTGCTCTTAAAGAGAGGTGCCTCGGGGAGTTTGGGGAGGGGAAAGAGCTTCCGCTTGGATAGGATGGAGTGGGTGGGATTGGAGGGCAGCCTGGAGCTCTGGACCGTGGAAAGGGAGGGACCACACAAGGTATGTGACCCTGGGTAGGGGCTGTGGGACATCCATGTTACGCCCTGCTTCCTTTGAGGCCATGCGGGTTACAGCTGGAGGCAAAAGCCTTCCAGGAAAATGACAGTGGAGGGCCAGGTGGTGGGGCTTTTCACTGCATGGCTCAGAGCAGGACTTGCTGTCAGCATATGCATCCTGCCCCTTGCTGACACCCCAGAAGGGCATCACAACCCAGATGGCCCCAGAGGTGCTCAGTATTTAGAATAGGAGCACCCTTGCACACCCTATCCCCCCTGGCATCTCAGTATCTGTTGTGTGGGTGCCCTTTGTGCCAGCCCAGCTCTCTGGGACCAGTCTCCCCACAGTGGGGTAGCACTCAGCTCTAGGGCAAGCCAACCTGGCTCAGAGCACAGAATGGAGCTGAGGTGCGATGGCAGGAGGGAGGAACCCCCCAGTCACCTCCCCAGGCTGCCGTCTCCTCCGGAGGCTCCCCAGGGCTGGATGGAGGTGGGCTACTTGCACTTGGCTCTTGGCTACCTGTGAGCTGAGCTACCCGCTGTGGGGTGGGGTACCTCAGGGCTTGCCAGCCCGGGCTCCCTGCTCCTCTGTGCAACCCCAAAGCCCCTGGGAAACAAGGGCTCAGGTGGGGATGGGACAGGGGCAGGCATGCAGAGCTGTCATCGCTGTCCCAGCTGCAGGGCCTCATCATGCACACACAGGCCCAATTGTAGGGCAGAGTGATGCCCTGGCTTTGGGATGACAGGTGTTCCGGCGTAGCCTTACCAGAAGCCCCCCTCCTTCCCTCCCTCTGGGCACCAGCTGGCAGATCCCCTCCCTCACTAGCCCTGGCAGCTGGCAGGCCACTATCAGCAGGGGGTCAGCAGGCAGGGGGGCCCCAGCTGCTAGCTAATGAAGAGTAGCATGGCTCATCCCCCTCGTTGCAAAGGGGACAAGGAGGAGGCCCAGCAGGGTCCTTAAATGCTGGTGTAAGATGAGGAAGGAGCAAGAGGGGCTAGGGGCCAGATGTGACCAAAACTGCTCTTAGCTTTGGGTTTGTCTTGCAATGGGCACTAGCCAGCAAGAGCCAGACCACTCCTGCCTTTCCCACACCTACCCCACAGGTCTGTGTTGGGTGGGAGTGCACAAGGTGGGCAGGCAGTACCCACTGGGTGCACAGCACCACTGCTCCTGCTCCCCAGCATCGCGGCATCTCCTCCGGCACCTCGTGCCCTATGCTCCTGCCTACCACAGCCCAGAGCCGCCTGCCCGACCTGCGGGTCCCCCCTCTCCCACCAGCTGCTCATGTCCATCCTCCAGGCATGGGAAGGGGGGGCAGGACCGCAGCCCGGCCCCACCTGGCCCCACCAGCTGCCCCGGCAGACGGGCTCTGGCCCCGTCTGCCTCTCGATTGTGCTTCGTTCTGTCACGGGCCTGTGGCTGCAGGAATGTCAGTCCTGTGGGCACAAGGGGCCTTTGTGCGAGCAGAGCCGGTGGGCGGGGGGCTTTGGCCCAGCCCAGCATCCCAAGCTGGCGCTGGGGAGAACCGGAGCCAAGGGCACCTGCATGGGCAGCAGCTGCCACTGGCATGGCCTCACAGCTCCCAGCCAGGCTCGGCAGTGTCCCCACTGCTGCAAGGGCCGACAGGGAGGAAAGCCCGCTCCCCATCCTCCTTGCCCCTCCAGCACCAGCAGCCAGGTGGTGGTAGCATCCTTCACACACCGTCAGCCTGGGGACCAGCACCAACACCAGCTCAGAGCTGGCACCACCTTGGTGAGCCTCAGCACCCATGCCAAGGGATGCCATGGGCTCAGCCAGCCCGCGGAGAGGAGCGGAAGGGCTGGGGGCATGGGGTGGGGGCCAAGAGCACCAGGCAGCAGCTGTTAGATTCAGCTTTTTTCAACAGCTGCTGTCTCAGCGCCAGCAACAGGGAATGTGCTTGGCCCGGGGCTTTCAAGAGCCTGGCCACGGTGTGTTAAACAAACTATTTATAGCACTTACATCCCTCCCCGGCAGGAATGGCCAGCGTTCCTCCTGCATGGGACCAGGTGCTTGGGTGCCACTGGTGTCGTCCCCACCACCACTGTCTCAGGTCCCTGCCAGATGGGTGGGATATCCTCAAAGAGAGGACTCTTGGCTGCCTGTCATCTTCCCCCCTGCCATTTCCATTAGCTCCCAGTGCTATGCCCAGAGCAAGATTTGCAGCAAATCTTTTGCACGCCTTGTGGAAGAGATGCCCGAGGGCCATGCCCTTCTTCCCAGCATCCCTGCTCCCTGCTAAATCCTCTGGAGCCTTAACCATGCGACAGCTGCTTTAAGCATTGGCAGGTGCCGATGGTTGCTCTGTCCCCTGCACCTGCCTCTGAAGTGGCACGAGGGTCCTGCCCTCCCGCAAAGCAGAGATGCTCTCCTGGGAGCAGGCTGGGTGCTGGCATGGGGCAGCGGCCAGGGATCTGGCCCACTCTCAAAGCCTGTGCCAGCTTTGCCTGTCGGCTTACAGGGCACAAGGCTGCTCAGGCGGCTTTCCCTCTGCCAATGAGCAGCAGCGACCAAGAGGGGTCACACCAGGAGGCAGCACAGCCACGTCCTGCCCAAAGGCTGGCGTGTCCCGCACTCCTGACCCTCCAGCCATGCCTCCTCTAAGGTGGCCTCCCAGCAGGTTGTCCTCTCCCAGAGGAGACAGAGGCGCCGGCTGGCTCCAGACCCAGGATCTGCCCAGAGGACGTGTGGGCTGTGAGTTCACCCCTGCTCAACAGCAAGAAGGAAGGGGCTGGACTTTGGGCAAGCCAAATCCTCAGGGCTTTGGGACTGCAGGGAGGAGAAGACAAGAGAACAGCTCTGCACAGTCCTGCCACCAGCTTGAGGACAGCCCCTGCAGCTGGGTTGCTTCCAGCCCTGCTCTCCCATTGCCGCCGCTGCTCTATCCGCAAGTTTCCCGGGACGCTGCGCCTGCCTTGCACCACCCAGGGGCATCTCCTGCTCCTTTTTTGCTGATGTCCAGCTGCTAACTGACCACCTGAGAGAAACAAGTGCTACGGAGGGGTACACGGTCTCTGTTTGGGCTTGGGAAGTGCATCCCAGCCCTTGCTGGCAATTAAATAGGGGATACTTCATTGTGCAACTGGTACGATAAAGAAAATGGATGTCTGAAAAGAAGCAGCCTTGATATGCACCCAGCAAAAAGGAGCCGGCCACCTGGTGAGGGATTTTGAGCCCCTTGGTAAAGAGGGATGAAGGATAGACAAGAAAAAGTGTTGAGAGACAGAGCAGCGACTGCAGGAGCAGAAA